GCCCAACCTTCCTTCCGAGGAGTGGCTGGTGGGTTTGAACTGCCAGCCTTCTGGTTAGCAGTCAAGTGCCTTAGGCACTATGCTACCAGAGCTCCCAAATAGTGATTATGATGAATATATTTATTGTGCATAAACAAATAATAGATTTTTTTCTCCTAGGTTTTAACCACACTTTGTTTATTTACACCTCTTTTGTATTGTGTATATGGCTATACTACCTACTTTAGCATTTAGGGTTTAATGGCTCTTTCCTTTATCCAGGACCCATTAATGGGGTTTTCAGATGTTAAATGACTGGAAAAATCAAGTGCTTTGTGGATCTAGTACTCTCTTGCCTAATCACACTTAAAGATTAAAGGATCAGTTTTTAAAATTTGATGACATTTCCAATGCTCTCTGATCATATGAAAATATATCATACACATATCTTACTAATATCTGGAATATAAGGATAATTTTAAAGCAGGTGATATTTCATGAGTGGGATTATCTAAAATGGCAGTGATAATAATTTTGAAGAGAATAATGTGTCTGAATGGAAATAATTGCTATATTTGATCTAAATCAGGAAAACTGAAATAAGAAAACAACTGTAATAAAATGGATTCAACAACTTATACACATCACAGTGGCATAGGAAAGTATGAAGTTACATCCAGTGCTTTTTTTTTTTTTTTTTTGGTAAGAATTACTTGCCTGCAAAGTTGAGATACACAAGTATACACTTCTCATTCACCAAAAGACTCACCTAAGGTAAATATTAGATGGAACATTTCTTTTATTTATTTCTCACAAAATCAAATAGAATTTTTTTCACATGGTACAATTATATAGTGTAAGTATGTTTCTTAACATATTTGTCTTTATTTTATCTACATTTCTTGCTTTATGGACATAACCAGACATCTAGTTGTAATTTCTTATGTTGGATATTCTAAAAATGTAAAATATAATTTAACACTCAATATTTAAATGGTTATGGTTTTTTGTGATATAAAATATTTCTAATTATATGTAAGAGTCAAATTTTGTAATGAATTTATGATTAATAAATGACTAAAACTTATTTAGTACTACTTTTTGCCCTTCTTTTGGAGGTATTTTTCAGTGAGTGGAGAAACAGGAAAAAGTTTTCTTTGCCAATTTCTGCCAGAATTTTGTATCATAGAAAAAATGTATACCTCAATTTCTAAATTATAAAATAGCTATATGAATAATAGGGAGCTCTGGTAGCATAGTGCCTAAGGCACTTGACTGCTAACCAGAAGGCTGGCAGTTCAAACCCACCAGCCACTCCTTGGAAAGAAGGTTGGGCAACCTACTTCCCTAGTGATACTGCCTCAGAAACCCAAGGAGGAGTGGCTATGAGTCAGGTCCGACTCGACAGCAAATAAAAACGACAAAATATGAATAGTATTTGAGGTACTTATTCAACAGGGATAGCCTCTATCAGGCTCTACAGAGAGTACAATGATTAATTGTGTGTTAAAATTCATTTATACAAGCATAATTTAAACGTGATTAATCACAGGGAATTATTGAGTCCCATAACCGAAAGTCCACATTTCTATATGGCTTAGGTATAGCTGGATCTAGGTGCTCAAGCACTATTGTCAGGAAACTGAATTGACATTTCAAAGGTGTTTGAAGATTAGGAATTGATTCTTGAATGATGTTGCTCAGATAATACTTACAATGGGACATGCTCTGTGAGCTTAAAGAACAAGTTGCATCTCATAAGAGAGCCTATACTTTTTTGACATTCTTGTCCTTTCTGTTTCAATCCCTAAAAATTTAATACAGGCTTAGTCTCAATTATACTATGGGAAATATGAAAGATTGGGATGTCTGCATATGAAAGTTGTGAGCAGTTTTTCCCTGAGGCTACTGTATGTCATACATTCCTGGGGAGAAGATACCCAGAGAAAATAATTTGTAACATGTGTATCAGGCCAGTAACCCACC